GGGCGGGTCAGGAGAGGTCTGCCGCGCCATGTGGTCACCTCCGGGGCAGACGGGAATCGAACTCATGCGGAAGCGGCTTTAGATTCTCAGTGCAGTGCTTTAACCCGCTGCGCCACCAGGGAGGGCCCGGGGTAAGTGTATTTTTTAATGTTTATTTATTTATGCATACAAGAAGTGGGGTACAGTCCAGATCAACTGAATACACTGTTGAGGAGAGCAGCATGTGGGTCAGGAGAGGTCTGCCACATAAATTGGGTCACCTGCCTGACGGGGGATCAGACTTGCATGCAGTGGCCACAGCAGCTTCCTAGTGCTGATCTTAACCCACTGTGCAACCAGGGAGGGCCCAGGGGGTTTTTAACAACCACCTGTGATTTTCTCCATGCAAAGACAGCATAAGACAGAGGCATCAGAAGAGACACCTACATGGATCTTAGACATGTGTCCCTTGCAGAAGATAGGAAATAGTCATTGAGCTCAAAGTTCTGACAGCTTTTCCAGAACTGTCTGGAGATTAATCCCAGGCCTCATTCCAGGCCATCAGTCTTCATTCTTTAGAAACTCCCTTAACTTTCGGTTATCTTATTTTATTTAAGCTAGTGTTTCCCCCCAAACACTTGTATCCCAAGCAAGAATGAATAAATGTGCCTCAACAAAAGAGGTCACGTTTTCTTCCGTGAAAAGCCCTTCTTAGAGCAACTTTTATGGCTTTATTTCTCAGGCTGTAGATCATGGGGTTGAGTGTTGGGGGCACAACTGTGTACATAATAGTGAGCAAAATGTCCAGTGCACTTGGAGAGTCAGAAGGGGGCTTGAGAAACTCAAAGCCACTGGTTGTAATAAACAATATGACCACAGCAAGGTGGGGAAGGCAAGTGGAAAAGGCCTTAGCTCTGCCCTCAGCAGATGGCATCCTCAGCACAGTAGAGAATATCTGAGTATAAGACAGTACAATGAAGATGACACAAAGAAAGGCCACAAGTGCAACGAATCCACTAACCGCAACTTCACTGATGTACTCACTAGAACAAGAGAGCTTCAGGAGCTGGGGGATGTCACAGAAGAACTGGTGAATCTGGGAGCCACAAAAGTGGATGGAGAAAGTGCCAGCTGTGTGCATGGTTCCAGTAATGACTGCACTGATCCAGACGCCCAGGACTCCGTGGACACAGGTGCGGACATCCATAATGATTTCGTAGCGCAGTGGAAGGCAGATGGCCACGTAGCGGTCATAAGACATCACCGTGAGCATGAACAGCTCAGCACAAGCACAGAGAGCGAAAACAAAGCATTGCACCATGCATTCCCCAAAGGAAATGTAGCCACTGTGCATGAAAGAGTTGTAAATGGACCTTGGCACAGTCACAGAAATGTAGCACAGATCCAGAACTGAGAGATGTTTCAGGAAGAAATACATGGGTGAGTGCAGACTACTGTCCATGGAAGTCGCGGTGATAATGAGGATGTTGCCCGTTACTGCCACCAGGTATAAGACTAAGAACAGAGAAGCATTGGCGAGTTCTAGCTCAGGCTTGGAAGAAAATCCCATCAGAAGAAACCCGCTCATAGTGGAATTAGCCATAGTCCTTTTCAACTTTTGAAAGATAGTGACTGCAAGACAAAATGGGAATGCTTGAAATTTTATTGTACTGAAGCACATAACTTACCTCAGGTTCCATGAAGTTAAGCAAGGAATCATCACTTCATCATAAATACAAAATAATTTTCTAGTTAAATAATCATGAGGAGCACATTCAGTGACTTCCATGGAAACAGTGGTAGTTTCCAAATCTTAATAATGCCCATTTCAATCAAAGGAAAAGAAATGTGACCGTATGTTATAAAACATATTAGATACCTTAAAATATATAACTTTATTAATGGTACTATGGAGCTTTGAAGCTTGGTTTACATTGAAGGTTTTATGCAGTTCATACCGTCACACTGCCAGTGTTTTTAGCCATCTCCTCGTTTTTATTCATCACTTTCATTCATCATTTTGTCAGTTCATACACCACTCCAACAATCATGTTGTTATTGAAATGTTATAATTTTGTCTTATATATTAGAGAAAAAATTCCTCATGGTTTTGCTTCTAACTAAATAATTATTTCCTTAGTAAATAAACTTATGAACAACAAAACTGAAATACCTCTACAATCATTTTGATTTATAACTGATCATTATCATTAATATCTGCTAGATGTTAATTTCCCATAGGAAATGAAAAAAACCACTTTCCCCAATGCATTTCATAAGAAAATAATAAAACTAATATATACTTCAAAAAATCATTTGCTCTAATACTTAAGAAAAATCTAAGGCATTTCTGAAATATGATTTTTATTTCCAACCCATTAGCTTTGATGAAAAATAAAATACTATTATTTTTGAGGATAACTAGTTGTAATGTCCATTTGTAGTGAATGAAAGTAGATCCAATACCAGATAGTATTGTAAAACAATGTTTACTTTCTTCAAAAAAGTTCATACTATTAAAAAACAAAGATTATGATGCTTATTTCATAAAAGTAAATAAGATTAAGTTTAAAACAAATAAGGATTATGGCCAAATTTGTGCTTACTTTCTGGAAAAGAGCCAATTATTTACTAAAACCCTTAAAACAGTTTGCATTAAACCATGTAACTTTGTACTAGATAACATTTTTAATAAATAACACAAATAATTAGTATGTTTAAAACTGTGTTCATTTATTATGAATGCATATTTACAATAGCCAAAATATGAAAGTATGAAAACAACTTAATTGCCCATAAACATGAGTAGATCAAGATGTGTGTGTGTGTGTACACATATATATGCTCTCTCTCTCTCTTGCTCTGTCTCTCTCTCTCTCTTTCTCTCTCTCTCTCTCTCTCTCTATATATATATATATATATGCACAATAAAATATTACTCAACAATCCAACACTAACCTTTATGGTAACATGAGTGGAGCTGGATGGGTATATGCTAAGTGAAACAAGCCAGAAGGAAAAAGATAAACACCAGATGGCTTCACTACTGTGTGAACTATAGAGGAACACAGCAAACGGACAGACAAGCACAAACTTTAAAACCAAACTTGGAAACTGACCATTTATAGTAGGTTTCCAAAGGGGTTGGAGAGAAGGATGGAGAAGGTGAAACATGGCAGTGGGGGAGTAGGAGCACAGGGAAATGGTGGAGAACTGTGGGTGCTTTGGTGGTGGGGGCATGGTTTCTGGCCAAGGAGGAAATTCTACACTGTCAAAACTCTAACAAGGATGGAAATCAACGGTGGTTCAATTACAATTTAAAAGGAAAGTCAATCAGTCGATTAATAGATTATTTTAATTAAACCAACACAGAAAAGCTGAACAAAGATCAGTGTCAGGAGGAAAGAGGGAAGTAGGGTGAGGAGGGGCCATGATGAACCAGAACCATAACAGTAGAGGACGATGGTGATTTGGCAATGGAAGAGTTTCAGTGACCACACTGAGGGCAGAAATCCTACACTGTCAAAAACGTAAAGGATGCACAAGGATGGTACTTCATGAAAAATATAAATACAAAAATACATAAATAAAATGCTTACACACAAAAAGATAATTACAGTAGCAAAAAATACCGACAAATCCTAGAACTGTAATTGAATAATCTGTTTCCCTAATAATATTTAAATGCTCTTGAAAATTATCTTGATGAAGTACCTATTTCAAAATGGTATTAAGACTATTTGGATGATATAGGAATAAGAGGTAAGCACTTAATGTTCTCAAGATATATAAGGACATAGGAACTCAAGAAGCATAGTATAAAGAATATGTAGAAATAAAATATAAAATAGCAATAATCATTTCTTCCTTATTGCTGGTTTATAGATTTGTTAACCTAACCAAAGACACATTTTAGTTTTTCAGCACAAAGTGAATATGCTTATAATTATTTCCTTAGTACCTGAAGATGATGTTTCTAGTTTCTGTAGAAACTATATAATTCTATGGAATTTTATGGAAAATTTTATTAAGATTGATTAAGAATGATTTGGCATAAATGAGTCTCTTACACACTTCAGGAAAAACATATTTGTATATGAATATTTACTCAGCCTGGCTGTGTGTGTGTGTGTGCATATGTTCCACTAGGAAATTAATTGAAGCAAGAAATTTTGTTTTAGACAATACTGCAGGGAGACTTTGAGGGTGACAGATGACATCTGACATTTCTAGAGATGAGCCTGACACATTTACACATCCAGGCACTGCTCCTGTAATTGAAACTAACCAGGTCATGTTTCTGGAGTCTCCAGGATTTCCATGAAATCCCTAGAAAATGCTACCTTTTTTACTTTTACTTTTTCTTACTTTTCTTGAAAGAACCCAACGAAAAATACTTCATCCCACAAGCCTGGAAATAGTTCTTGACTTACCCAAAGAGATTTTTTGTCTTCCGTTAATTTAGATCTACTGTTTATAATTAATATAGTAATGATATATTGGATTTAAATGCAGATTTTTCCCATTTAAAAACCTCACATTTCTTCAACTCTTATATAAATATATATATAATTGTATTTAAGCTGACCTCTATAAAACATGTATTTAATAATCTTGTTACATGATATATTATAATATCTGACTTACATTTAATAATTATCTGTGGTACCAAGTATAGGAGCAGGAAAAGCTGAAGGGACTTGACCAACAAAGTCGCTTTTGTTGGCTCTCAGGTATTATTTCATATCTTTCTTTATGACATACTACTTGAACTTAGGTATAAAGATGCTAAATTCCTTCTTCAAAGAAATTAACACCTGTATCATTAAATCTACAGTTTCACCTTCTCCAATTTATTCATGCTCACATAATAAAAGGCAGCATTCAAAATAGTGTAGCTCTATCACAGTTTCACATGAATATGAACAAACGTGCATATTAATGTTAAAATTTAGATATATACACTTCTTAAAACATAAAAGTCTTTGCTAAATTTATTAAGATACACTTAATTATTCTTACCAGTTAATTTTACTGCAAGCCCTCTTCATGTATCTTTTTCAAAAATTGGCCACTGACATGTCCATTCCAGAATTTTCTTGAATTGTCTTTATCTCAGAATTTCTACCTAAAAATTAGAAGAAATTCAAGGCTGATTGACTGGTTATGACTTCTGTTTGGACTTTATTTTTTGAAGGAGGAAAATGATTGGTGAAATGCTTTATCCTTCTCAATTTTAAAATTTTCTAATATATTTGGTCAATTTAATTGGGATAACTTGTATGGAAAGCATCCCCCATCTCTTCTAAGTCACTGTTGTGACATCACGTATGAGCACAAGAATATCAGACAGAATCCCCCCATCACACATTCATAATGAATTACTTCTGTGATGGTTTTATAGAGAAAGTCATTGCTAGGGAGGTGGCCATTGAACTCCATAAAATGATTCTGGAATGGAAGAGGATCACAATGTTCTTTCCTGGATTCCTAATTTCCATTAAAATAATCAAGGCACACACATTTGATTTCATATTTTATAAGTCTAATGGCAGTGGCTGTTTTTTTCACCCACTCAAATCATTTATCTATATACTTTCCATTATTCTGCATAATCCAGCTTTTTAGAACCTACTGACACTCACCAGAACATATTCAGAAATATCTTCCCTCAACAGAAGGAGAAGTTGTCAGTGTGAGTGAGTAGCTGACCTTTGGCGCAAAGTCCTGATCTCTAAATTCAGTCACATTCAGAAAAATCTGAATTGTGGAGAAAAAAATAAGTCCATTTCAGCTCTTCTTAGGACACTGGGGTTTAGGCTATTAAATCACTTTGAGGTAAGCAGAGTCTGTGGGTGCAGTGGGTATTTGGCATTCTTGGTAAATACCTAGGGACCAAAGTTGGCAATTACTCTGCTTCTGCAGAGTATTTTTCTGTTAATGTGACTTAATAATCAAACATGGTTATCTGGATTTTCAGCTTATTAGTGGCTATTGCATCAAATTAGTGAAAAGTGTAACTTGTGTGTTTGACTCAAAAAATATCCCATCAAAATTCTAATTTGATTCTATTAAAGAAGTTAGCAAATCATTGATTTAATTTATAGCTAGTAATATTAAATCTAACAAAATCCCCATTATTTAAAAAGGAGGTTTATACCTTTATGTTTTGTTGATATTAACAATAAGCATCCTTTCAGTTCAACCTGAGTAACGGTTTCTTCCATTCTGAGCAATTTCTTTGTTTTTTCATAGGATTCTTAGAAGCATAGTGTTTTTAGTGTGATAAAGTCAAATGTATTTGTTTTCTTTTACTCCTGGTTTTGTTTCATTTTGACAATCTTTAACTAGTTCAAATCCACACAGATATGTCTTCATATTCCACTGTTTATAATTTCAGCCCTTACAATTTGATCTTTAATCCATTTTATGGTCATTTTTGTAAGATATTTGAGCCACAAGTACAATGAATCCACTGACCCCAGTGTCACTGCTGTACTCATTAGAACAATAGAGTTTCAGGAGCTGGGGGATGTCACAGAAGAACTGGTTAATCTTGGACCCACAGAAGTGAATAGAGAATGTGGCAGCTCTGTGCATGTTTCCAGAAATGACCCCACTGATCCAGACACCCAGGACTCTGTGGATACATGTGCAGACATCCATGATGATTTCATAATGCAGTGGAAAGCAGATGGCCATGTAGCGGTCATAAGACATTAATGTGAGCATGGACAGCTCAGCTGATCCACAAAGAACAAAAGCAAAACTCTGCACTATACATTCCCCAAGGGAAATGTAGCCACTGTGCATGAAAGAGCTGTAAATGGACCTTGGCACAGTCACAGAAATGTAGTACAAGTCCAAAACAGGAGAGATGCTTCAGGAAGAAATACATGGGTGAGTGAAGACTACTGTCCATGGAAATTGCTGTGATAATGAGGATGATGCCAGTTACCGCCACCGTGTATATGACTAAGAACAGAGAAGCATGGACGAAAATCCCATCAGAAGAAACCTGCTCACAGTGGAATTAGCCATAGTCCTTCTTACTATCCTAATGATATTTGCTACAAGAAAAGATGAAAAACATTGGAAATTTGCAATATGTTACTGAGCCACTTAAGCCATTTTGGACTCAATCAAGGCAGGCATGAAGTTACTTGAAGAAATCACATCAATATAAATGTGAAAGTAGTTCTTTGTGAGTAAATGTAAATGATTTACACTCATCATGGAAACATGAGAAAGGAAGATGATAAATCTGATTATTTCCCATTTGAATAAAAGAAAAAAGAATAAAATTAAGTTAATAAAATATATTTTAAAATGTATGATCTTGTTATTGGGAGTATGGTGCCTTAAATTTTGATTTTAAGTGTTTTATGCAGTTTATGTACTCATTTATATAAATGAATATTAATATTAATTTTTATTGATCTGTTCATATAATACTCTAAGTGCAATATATTTATTACTGTGCTATTATAATTTTACTTTACATGGGAGAGGAAGCATCCATTATTTTCTTCTAAAAAGTATTTAATTTCAATCTATAAAGTTAGGAAACACCAGGTTGACAGTTCATATTAATTACCATATGTAAATCACTGTTGTCATTTCGTAACATATCATAAAAATTTATCTGAAATATACTAATCACAAGGGAAAAGGTAATAGACCTTCTTCACCAGCGTATTTTAATAGGAAAATTTGTAGCAAATAAACACACTAAAATAGCATTTCATCTCATTCTTTGTGAACAAATATTAAACAAGTATAATCTATAAATTTGTACTCAAAAATTTGTTACCCATTTAAACTAAAATACTCAGTACTATTTATTATGAAACAATCAAATGATGCTATATGTCTGAAGAAGTGCGACTCTAGCTGCTAAATCTTATTTAGTTTGAACCACACTTGCAAAACATTTGTAAAATTTAAATGTAATTGATATAATATGCATTTCATAAAAAATAAACAAATTAACTTAAAATGCTATTAGTAGTGTCAAATTTGTGCATACATACTGGAAAAGAGCAAGTTACTTCTTTCAACTCAGAATTTTAGACATTATAAAATTTCATTATAATCATGCCAAGAACCATATACTAGACAGACCATAAGCCACATGTGAGATTTTTTTAAAAGCATAATTAAAAGTGAAATTATTTTAGACTTCTTTCTCATACTGAACCAAAGTGTCTTTGTGATTTACCACTTCTTTATTTCTTTAATCAATATGTGAAAATACAGGCATAATCCTGCAAATTTATGCCAATCCTTCAGATATTGGAAAGTAGCTATATGATTTTCCATAGTCAATTGAAGGAGTCATCATTTTTTCAAGTTTTCTTAGTTTTAATCTGTATGTCCACTTACATGAGGTCAGCAGTTAGCAAGTGTACACATTTTTATAGTCTGTTTCTTTCAAAGACATTTCTTAATTGTTCTCACCATCAGGAATCAATTCTCCAAACTGGGAACACAGATATATGTGCAGAATGGATGAATTAAATTCTACATTACATGGTATTTTTAGTTCACAACCATGCAATATATTGATAATAAATTATTTTTTAAAAATATATTTTCATAGTAACTATTTCTATTTCAAAGGAACAGAAAAGCTTACATGTATGAAAAGATAGCAAGGGATAGCAATGTATATTTTGTGATAATGTAGTGATTCTATTAAGTTTTCTATTTGTGCTTAACTTTGAAACAATTCGTTATTTCAATAATAATTATTATGGTTATACTAGACAGACATAAATCACCTAAAGATAAAAAATATGGTTACCATAAACTTAGTTAATTTTATTTGCCTCAATGTATTTAACTTGACAGCTTCCTCATGTATGTGGAACATTTCTCCCCATGAAGAAATGAAATTAACAGATGTGAATCAACAGAATAGGTCAGCTTTTCTCCTTTGGAAAACTTTTGATAGAGCTGCCTTTATGGCTTGATTTTTCAGGCTATAGATCATTGGGTTGAGTGTTGGAGGCACAACTGTGTACATGATAGTCAGCAAAATGTCCAATGTGCTAGGAGTTTCAGAAAGAGGTTTGAGATACTCAAAGGAGCCAGTAGTAATAAACAGCATAATGACTGCGAGGTGTGGAAGGCAGGTAGAAAAAGCTTTAGCTCTGCCTTCAGCAGATGGCATCCTCAGCACGGTAGAGAATATCTGTATGTAGGACAGTCCAATGAAGACAATGCAAAGAAAGGACATAAGAACCAAGAAGAAACTGACCCCAATGTTGTTGACGATCTCATTAGAACAAGAGAGTTTCATGAGCTGGGGGATATCACAGAAAAACTGGTGAATGACATGGGAGCCACAGAAGTGCATGGAGAAAGTGGCAGCTGTTTGCATGGCTCCAGAAATGACCCCGCTGACCCAGACTCCCAGGACTCCGTGGACACATTTGCTTACATCCATGATGATGTCATAGCGCAGTGGACTGCAGATGGCCACGTAGCGGTCATAGGACATGACTGTGAGCATGGACAGCTCAGCAGCAGCACAGAGAACAAAAACAAAACACTGCACCATGCACTCCCCAAGGGAAATGTAGCCACTGTGCATGAAAGAACTGTAAATGGACCTTGGCACCATCACAGAAATGTAGCACAGGTCCAGGAAGGAGAGATGTTTCAGGAAGAAATACATGGGTGAGTGCAGACTACTGTCCATGGAAGTCGCGGTGATAATGAGGATGTTGCCAGTTACCGCCACCAGGTATAAGATCAAGAACAGAGAAGCATGGGTGACTTCTACCTCAGGCTTTGCTGAAAATCCCATTAGAAGAAACCCACTTATAGTGAAATTAGCCATATTTCTTCTTAATTTCCCCGTGTTGTTGGCTAAAAGACAAAAAGGGATCCATTGAGACAATTTCTGTGATTTAACCTATTAAACTTCCCAGGACTCAATCAAGTTTGGCATGAGGCCATTTGAAGAAACTACCACTTCATCTCAAATGTGAAGCTGTTCTGAATATCATGATGCTATCAAGCAATTGTAAAACACTTTGAATCACTCATGGAAACCAGTGTAATGAATTTCTAAATTGTATTGCCTATTTCAGTCAAAGAAAATGAATGATAATGTACACAATACAATTAATAAGATATATCTAAAATTGTAATTGTTAGTGAATGTATGGAACATTAATGTTGCTTTATAATAAAACATTATATATAGTCCATGCACAATTTTCCCTGTGGGTTGATTTGAAGAAATCAAGAGACTGAACAACTGGATTTGACAAACAGCCTGGTCTCATTATGCCCTTTCAATCATGCCACACCCACATATATATATATATATATATAT